AGACAGACAGGCGGACAGACACACAAGTGGACAGACAGACACACAGACAGACAGACGGAGGGACGGACAGACAATGCTTTTATTTATAGTATGCCTTGATTTAACCCGACCGTTAACAAGCGTTATCATATAAGCCCGCGTAAATGAGGCAACTTGTAGCACAAGCGAACATGTTTCGGTGCCTAAAGATTTTCCTTCAATTCCCTTTGACTTTTCAACTCACTTTCCTGATAGATTTCACAAGCACCAGGCTGTATTTCATAGGCAATCATAACAAAACGAGAAATTCCATAGAGGTAAAAATGATAGAATCCCGTGTGAATAATCATTAGTGTATTTGAATGAAAGACCTAGAATTTGAAATTGCTATTAGTTGATGTTGATGAGTTGATGATCTGTTATTGATCTACACTTACACGAGCTGCTGAAGAAACATAATGACTGAATGGAATGCTTAAAAAGGTCAACAGATAGATGAACGTTTCGAGGAGATAACTGAAGGAAATAATTGCTTCCATTTGATCTTCGTAACCAGCAGATATATTAATAAACATCAACATTTGAAGCTTCATTTTGAGAACTTGCGATAAGAAATTATTAGAATTTTAGACTAGCAATGGAAATCTGAGTTTCTGAGCAATGGAAATCTGAGTTCTGAGACAGGTGAATTTTTTTAAATCTGGCCTTTGAGGTCAGTAGATATCAGAATAAATATAAAAAATAAAGTTGTATGTTTTAGTTTTTATTAGTTTTTGAAAAATGAGGAAGTTGCTATTAAATGGAAATGTTTGCAAGGTTTTTCATGGGTAATATTTAGAGCCATCTTGAGAGAAAACCTGTAGTTATCTCTATTTTGGACAAAGATTTCTTTGAGTTTTTTTGCCAGATCAAACTTCATGTTCAATTTTTGATTTTCAACAAGTTTAAGAAAAAATTAGGTTTTTTGTGATATCTGGGGGAGGGGGAAATCTCAGAAAAAAATTAACTGGGAGGAGGAACCTTTTCCTTTCATTTTCCACTTGATTTCTTGCTTTTACAAGATATAAGACATTTTTTTCTTTATATAGACATTATAGACATTATAGGCACCCTTTGGGACAACCTTTGGGGACCCGTGCTGCAAGCTCTCTGCACTTGGGCAGATCCCGGAGGAAGTCAATGCTGCAAGCTCTCTAGGTTAGGCAACAATAAGCGCTTATAAACTCTAGATCCTAGAGAGCTTCCAGCACTGACCCCTAACTATAAGCGCCTATAATATAAGACATAAGACATTTCCCTCAGCTAATTTTTTTCTGAGATCCCCAGATAATGCAAAGTGCTCTAAAATTACCCGAAACAACCTCCGTTTGCTGTTATCCGCTTTTGAGTTGACTACCTTTGCTACTTTTTGTTTATTATGCAAATTTCGGAACCACTTCGAAAACCAAATTTGGTGCTTTCAGCAGGGTGGGGCGCCTGCCCACAAAGCTCCAATTGTCCAAGACTGGTGAGAAGAAAACTTCCCGGATTTCATCAGCTTTAGGCAGTAGCCATCATCATCTGACTTAAATCTAATGGATTACTCAACCCGGAGTGTTCTTGAAGCAAAGACCTGCACAGAAGCACTTTCGGGCATTGATTCACTGAAAAATCACTTCAGAAAGCTTGGGCTGAACTCGATCCTGCGTCTCTTTTGGCCAGCATCGATTTCCCAAAACGTCTCTCCGCTTGTGCAGCCGCTCATGGAGATATTTTCGAGCAAAAATAAATTAAATTGTTGAAAGCAATCTAGAGAATGTTTTTCTTTTCTTCAAAATGGAGTGGAATTGCTTCGAACATTACCCTACAGGCCCGATATCAACCTGAACATTTATGGTCCAGCGAAAACCAGTCCAGTCCAGTGATTGTCCAGCGAAAACTCAAAGGACAAAAATTTCGAAACAAGGCTGAACTATGGATTCATATGGAGTAAGTATGGATGGCGATCTCTCAACAAGTGTTGCTCAATCATCTCATCGATCTCCAGAAGACTACAAAAGATCATTCAAGCAAAAGCTGCTACAAAGTATTAAAGTTATTGTAATTTTTGCTAGTCGTTAACTCTTTTGTTATTTTTTCTGTTTTACTGTTATTCAGAAACTATACCACAATGGTAGAATTAGTTGCGAAAAGGTTTTCTCTTTAACGCTTATTTTTGTGAAAAATGTTTTTGGGAGACAATGGTTGAAGACTTTTTTGATGACTGTATTGCCAGAGATTATTGCACATTATTTTTATTTGATCGTTGACACCTTGAAATTTGAATGTTTAAAAAGACTAATAATTTATTTTAAGGCAAATCGTGTTTTACCCATTTTTGATCTCGATAAACTTTACGAAAAAACTTTACAAAACTTTTTTTGTGATCATTCGAAAGCCAAAAATCAAATGACTAATTGAAAAGTTTAAAAAATGTCTCTTGGGAGATGGATTCGTTTATTTCTGAAAAACTTTTAGATCAACAGACATACAGGCGGACAGACACACAGGCGGACAGACACACAGGCGGACAGACAGACAGTCAGCGGACAGACAGTCACACAGACAGACCGACAGCCGGGCGGACAGACAGCCGGGCGGACAGACAGCCGGGCGGACAGACAGCCGGGCGGACAGACAGCCGGGCGGACAGACAGCCGGGCGGACAGACAGCCGGGCGGACAGACAGCCGGGCGGACAGACAGCCGGGCGGACAGACAGCCGGGCGGACAGACAGCCGGGCGGACAGACAGCCGGGCGGGACAGACAGCCGGGCGGACAGACAGCCGGGCGGACAGACAGCCGGGCGGACAGACAGCCGGGCGGACAGACAGCCGGGCGGACAGACAGCCGGGCGGACAGACAGCCGGGCGGACAGACAGCCGGGCGGACAGACAGCCGGGCGGACAGACAGCCGGGCGGACAGACAGACAATGCTTTTATATATAGTAGATATGCTTTGATTTAACCCGACCGTTAACAAGCGTTATCATATAGACCCGCGTAAATGAGGCAACTTGTAGCACTTTACAAAACTTTTTTTGTGATCATTCGAAAGCTACAAACCAAATGACTAATTGAAGACTTTTAAAAGTCTCTCTTGGGAGATGAATTTGTTGATTTTTGAAAAGCTTTTAGATCAATGTAATGTTTTAAAATAAAAACATCAAGTACACATTTCTTTTACTTGATGACAACTCAATTTTTAACCAAATAAACCTGGAGTTTATGAAGTTCATTGAAAAGGCAATAATTTGATTCATTTTCGAGAGCGAAATATCGAATCAGCACCTGTTTTTTGGTGGAATGAAAAGGGGGAAGGGTTTAAAAGAGACTCGAAAATCAAGAAATACTTCATTCAGAAAGTAATAACGATGTTTAAACCAAATCGAGCATTTCTTCAAACAATCGATGTCATTTACACTATTATTTCCATCTTTTGCATCCTTTTTTTCTGTCTTGCAATCTATTTTTTGATCTTTCAAAAATCCCTTGCCAGTGCAAAATATAAAAGAGTTCTTCTCTTTCAATTGGTAAGTCTTTTTTTTATAATTCTTTATTGTCAAAGAGTTTTTCAATGTTGGCTGATCTTATTGCCACGCCCGGAAAGTTGATTTTCTTGATGCCAAATTTTTTGGGAATATTTTTAAATGGATTTGTTCAATCAATTGGAATTGTTATTGTATTATGTGTAAGTTAAATATATGTCGTAGCCGATTATGAATGAGTGGGTCTAGGAGCGTCCAACCATCAAGTCTTTAGTCTCATTTAACGCAGAATCATTAATAATTATGTTAAATTTTTTAAATTAGAAAGATTGGATAAAAAGAAAAAAAATTATGGGACTTCAAAGTTTCCTCTTGAGCAAACAGTTTTTTTGCTCTAATTTTTTTTCTTTTTATCAAATCTTTCTAATTTAAAAGATTTAACATAATTATTAATGATTGTGCATTGAATGATACCAAATACTTGATGGTTGGACGCTCCTAGACCCACTCATTCATAATCGGCTACGGGGGTCCCGCCGATTTTGAATGAAACGTTGTAGCGCCGGCAATTTGTAACCTAAACTCACAAATTTGGTACCAATCGACGCAGAATTGAATTCGCTACAAGATGATATAATATTGTCCTCATACATTAAAGGGTTGCTCTACTAGAAAGATTTACCAAAAAATTTCATTCATAATCGGCTACGACATATAAAGTATTGGGTTGGTGAATTGAAAACTGCGAGCTATTGTCATATGTGACAGCTTGAGCACTTTCTTCAAACGAAACCCATTTTGGCGTCAATAGAAAAGTTGTAAAGAATCAAAAATCAAGCTTATATCCAGATTTTCAGAGCGATTCAAAAACTGGTTTTCAAGAAATGCCAAATCTACGAATTTTCACAAAACTTACATTTTAAGCGAAACTACTAAGTGTATCTTTCTGAAAATTTGACTATAAGCCTAATTTTTGATTCTCTACAACTTTTCCATTGACACCAAAATGGGTTTCTTTTGAAGAAAGTGCTGAAACTGGGACATCTCCAGTCCTCCATTTTTGAGTCTCACACTTGTCTCACACACAAACCAAAATCCTACTACGAAAGAGGAATCCGCAAATTGCCTCTAAAATGGGCAGAAGTCGTCAATAATAATAAAAATTATTTGGAATGAATTGATGGTTTTATGTTGAAGAAATTTTAGTTCAAAGTCCGGCAGTTTTCAATTGACCAACCCAATAATAGTAAGTAAATAATATTTAAATAAAAGAATGTTAAGATAAGTGTATTTTAGTGTCTTTATTGGATTTTTGAAGGTTTATTCCTAGCAACTTATTTGTTGGGCTTTTGGATGAAAATCGAGTCTTTGCAAGCTGGAAATCGTCGTGTTTCTGCTCGATTGATCTCTTTTATGAAATGGTTATCGATTCTAGCAACATTCAGTTTTGTTCTTTGTCTGGAGTTGATCTTTATCGATGCTTTTTTCGAAAACTCATTTATAGTTGACGAAGAAATGGTGAGAGAGTTCTGTTTTAACCGAATTCCCTTCACAATTCACAGGTTTGCGCTCAATTGGATTCAATCTGTTCACCACTTTCCAATCCTCCATTTGGTTATCACCCAAATTGGAGTCCTCTTCAATTATTTGTGATGAAATTTGTCGTTTTTGAATTTATTTTAATTGGTATTACAAATTGTTTTGGATGTGTTTTAATCTTTGATGCTCATCGGAATTTGGGAAAGACATCAGCGAGCTCAAAAACGAGAGAATTACATAAATATTTTACGATTATGTTCTTCCTTCAGGTTTTATTCTGCTTTCTTCTTTACAAATACTTTAGACAAATGTGCTTTTTGTTTGCGTGGTTTTGCCGATTATCCTGCTTGCAACTGTTATCGCTACAAGTCTTATTCAAAATGATTTTCTGCTTCGTGGTAGGTGAAATTGTTATTAAATCAACGCTTAAATCAGCGCCTAAACCAGCGCCTAAACCAAAGCCTAAACCAACACCTAAACCAAAGCCTAAACAAGCGCCTAAACCAAAGCCTAAACCAGCGCCTAAACCAGCGTCTAAACCAAAGCCTAAACCAGCTCAAATCAAATTTCTCTCGTTCCAGTGATTTCTCTGACATTTCTCTACACCTCACTTCACTCTCCCCTCAACAGTTTGGTCGTGATTTTTGCATCTAAAACTTATCGCCATACTTTGCGACGTTTTCTTCTATCATTTGTGAGAAAAACTTATCATTCATCAACAGTCACTATTGAGGGAGTAAATTGATTGCTTTTAAAATAAATTTAATAATTTCCAACGAATTCTCAACATCAATAGACCAAAAATCTTGATTAACTTAACAGCAAAAACACAAAAGCGCTAGTCTCTGACTTTTTGTAGAATGATAGCCGGTTGAATGAATGAATACCAGTCAATTGTCTTTTTTGGTTCGATATTTCTCCACGGGAAGCCAGTTGTCATTTGTGTTTCTGATCCTTTCAAACTAAATACACCCAGCAATTCGAATCCTAAAATGAATAGGTAAACAGATAAAGTTGTTTCATTAATGATTCTCATAATCGCCTTTTTTTACCTTGCATAATCCACGGTAATCGAATCGATCCGTATATTCGGTGAGCATTCCAAACAAGGGCGTCATCACCTAGAAGTATTGGGTGAATTTTCATTTAATCTTTTTATCCTTCACCAACCTACGGGCAAACCAAGCAACATCACACCGCCAGGCTTCAAAAGACAATGCATTTTGGCGACTTCTCGAAGGTCACCCCATGGATCAGGAGTGTCACCATATCTAAAATCTAAGATACAGAGCTCTTAACCAGTCGGTTAAGAGGCTACTTGTTTTTGATTTCTATTTTTCCTTTATCTACCTTCCAAGTCCGCTGTGTTCGATCGATGAGAAACTAATCACGAAATCCCACTTCTCTTGAAAGCTAGAAAACTGTTGTCTTTCTAAAGATAACACTTCATACTTTGTCCAATTCTTTGCCAAATCGAGTGGATGAATCCAGCTGAGTGGCTGCTTTGTCTGAAAGATTGAAGACTAAGGTAAAGCTCAGGCTTTTCAGCTTACTCAAACAAACCTTGATCTTCGTTTTCTGATATTCAACAGTGAGCACAGCGGCGGCTCCGTGTCTCAATGCGTAAACCTCAGCCTAAAACGGTAAAAATTTGATTGAAGAGGAAGAAGCAGAAGAAGAAGCGGAAGAAGAGAAAGAAGCAGAAGAAGAAGAGGAAGAAGCAGAAGACGTTCTTCACTCACCCACGGTCTTTGAGATCCAATTACAGCTCCACTTTTTCCCTTAAAATACTCTTGAAAGTATGAGAGTGCTGAATAAACGACTTCTAAAAGAAAAAAATTTTCATCTTAGAGCTTTTTTTTTAAAGTTTCCAACTTGTTCTTTCTTTGTAAGTGGATCTCTGGAAAAGTTCAGCTTCTGGTAGAGTCATTAGTTCATCAACTGTATCCCAAACGGCTGCTTTAGGCACACTTTTTTCATTGTAATATCTGAAATTTAAAACCTTTCAATATATTAATGAATATCGTACGCCTTTAACAATGGTATTCTTCCATAAAGTGTATATTGATCTCTCAATTCATCTGGCATCTCTTTTGGCGGTTCCTCATAAGGATTATCCTTATTTGCTTGAAACCAATTATCCCAAACCTGTAATAAACAATTTTCTTGTAAAAAAATGATCTCTAACTTCTTCACAAGTGTTACCAATCAATCGCCCACGTGATTTGAATTCATCTTCTCTGAGAGTTCTTGGAAAGAAATGATCAGATCCTTTGACTTCAGTGATTTCACAAATTTTCTGCTGTTTTGCAATGGGAGCCACTGGTTCTCTAAATGAAATTACCGTAAATACTGTAATAGTACCCCACCCCCCCCCCGTACAGTCGCGTAGTCACAAAGGTTCTTTAGTATTTCATTTTTTTCAAAGCGCCCCTACTTTCAAAAAATGCGTCTTTGGTATCAAAAAATAGCCCTGAATTTCAGCTATTTTTTGATACCTAAGCGCGCATTGTAGCATAAACCAGTGTCGAGAAAAAAGCGTCCAAAGCTAGACTACGCAACGCTCCCCACCGTCATTATGGGGGTGGGATACTATTACAGTATTTATGGTGAGCTTTACCATATCGCCAAACGATTTTCCGAGTTCTGAGATTCGTTGACTTTACATTACAATCGTTTATATTTAGAATCGTTTGTAATCGTTACAATCGTTGCAATCGTTACAATACGTTACAATCGTGTATTTAGAATTTAAATATTGTATTTTATTACATTGTATTTCATTCGAAATCTATTCTAATTACAAAATATTAGGCTTTAAAAACGAATAGCTCTGAATAGCTCAAAATAGCCCTGAATTTCAGCTATTTTTGGATACCTAAGCGCGCATTGTAGCATAAGCCAGTGTCGAGAAAAACGCGTCCAAAGCTAGACTACGCAACGCTCCCCACCGTCATTATGATTACAGTATTTACGGTAAGTAAAATTTTATCATTTCAACTTACCGAACTTTTAATGGCACCTCATTTGTCAAATTCGGTTCAATTTGATATCTCAATAATATCAAAACCCCAATAACAATGACAATAGTTAAAAATGCTTTAGTGGATACAGAGGAAAAGTCTCTCATCATTATTGTTAGAAGTTTGGAATTAAAATCAATGCAAGAGTATTGAAAGAGGTGACAAAGGTTGAATGCAAATAAAAGAAATGGAAGAGATAAGACTTGTTTGAACACTATTTCCTTTTCTCTAAAATTTTTGGCGAGGGTTTCCAATCAATACGTGGCAATTTTTGATGCTGTAATTCTTGCATTTGAACGTTGTCCTTAAAGAAAAACATTAGATTTTTGATATTCTATACTTGACAATCCAAATTTGTTGGATCAAACGCGTGACTCATGGCT